GACCATCTGGATTGATGTTCCTTGAAGGATTAGATTAATGATGAATATTGCCAAAGGTCTTTCTCAAAAAATCCACAGAAAACACTTAAGCAAATTTTATGTTTTTTAATCATTGATTTAATTTTGAAATACCTCACCACATCTTCTTGGATCCCCAATACTGTAAGCAGAAATAAGCAGAGTAAAGGCATTGTGCGGTAAACCTCAAGCGACCAACCTAACCAAGCTTCAGGTAAGAGAAGATGAATCTCTGTAGCAAAGCCAAAGCTGCATATAAAAAACAAGATCATACAAGCTAAGCTAACCATACGGACCAGCACAGAAAACAACATTTCAATAGAGTCTTCTGACCAATTACTCTTAACAGCACCAGCCAGCTACACAATTATGACAAACACAGAAATAGTCAGTGACAAAATTAATGCAGTATTCTGTGACGACGGCTCTCAAGACCACAAAGAGGAGGAACGAGAGGCGAGGAGATTCTATAATACAACATGAAGAACTACAACAAAGAGAGAGGAACCTCTGCCTACAAAAGCGGAATTTGTCATTATCATTAGTAAACTTGTCACCAATAAAGTACGATGTCCGGATGGCGTAGATAACATTTTCATACGGGTAATAAACAGGGACTTACCAGAGCTTATACCAACTCTTATTATAGCCTGCAAGAAACTTCAATACTTTCCGAAAACGATGAAGTATGCGGAAGTTGTTTTAGTTTGCAGAAGAACAGGATGATCACTAACGGATCCTACATTCTACAGACCAGAATGTCTCTTACCTGCCTTAGGCTGGGTGCTAAACTGAATAATGTTGGCCATACCTAAATACTTCTTGAAGAAGACTAAAGCTCTGAATACAAAGTAATATGGATTCCGCACAGGCAACTCTATGGAGCATTCCATTAAAGACATTCCGTAAGCAATCAGCCAAAATAGAGAGCAAAGCTTGCATACACAGGCAATAACCATTGACATAAAGGGAGCATTTGACAGTTTTCTGGCTAGACGTGATTACAATACTAAAACAATTGGCCTGTTCATCCGATATAATAACATTACTCCGCTAAATAATCAGTCCTCGACAGTCGAAGGGTGCAAATCACTACGGATAGTGGGAACTTAAAAATGTCACCAGAGGGTGTCCGCAGGGCTTGTGCCTGAAACTAACCCTTTGGAATATTGTGAGAAGCACAGTATTTCTGTACTTTCACAATTTGAAGTTAGCGCCTTTAATGGCGTATGCAGCGAATTTCATGCTAGTGGTGGCGACCTGGAGTCTAAAGCCCAGGACTGATGGGGCCTGAATACGTAAACTTTGTGCCTCGGTACAAAAAATGAGACTCACTAACTGGCTACAAAAGACAACTAATGCAAAACTAGTGTATAACTACCCGAATTGCCTCTTAATTGTGTCCTTCAACTAGTACACCTTTTAATTACAATACGCAATAGGATCTCATGGCTTCCACGTGTAAAAAACATACAGGAAGAAATATTGTATTAAACAATCGCATAAAATGTGCAGCATCACTGAGATGTCGAACTTGATCAAGATTAAAGACTGGTGCAAAACGATAATGAAAAAAACTGTAACATAAACTAAACTAGGGGAAGCAGTATCACTTTCCATATGAGACGATCCTTACAGTCCGTACAAAGGTTATAGCTATTTCAAATAAGCAGAGCATACACAACTTCATCGAGGCTGGCATTGCGGCAACTGGCAGGAGTCCTTCTCCTAGACCTAGTTTGAAAACGAGATGAAACCATAACCAGAGTTGTCAGACTGGAATAAACAACCAAAGTTTGGAGCCACACCTACCGTTACAGTAATTTCTAAGAACAATGCATTTACAAATCTTTCCGTCCAACCGAATTTATCTGTGCGATACAATGTATCTCAATGAGATACCTGCTTGTACCATAGTTGTACGAGTATATACACAGATGGTTCTAAAACGGAGAAAGGCACAGATGAAAGTTTGGGGAACACCAGCGATGTACCTTGTGGGTCAAGTGGTAATGCCTTCCCACACTCTAAAAAAGAGAGAAACATTGCAAGTTTTATAAGAATTTATACAGAATAGTTGAAGAATCTGGCAACTGATGCTTTCCAATTAGTCTAGAGTTTGCTCCTATTATGTTATATCGTGCAATCCCACCGTACGCCCCACATCCAGTATTTATTAAAAATAATTATGTAGGACATAAGAAGATTACAGTATAGTCTGAATACAATTTGAAATTCGCAAATTAAATTGAACATCTGTTTTGATGCAACAAAAATAGGAGATAAACATAATTAGTAAACGGATAAACATAATGAGATAACTATAATTAATACTGTGAACACAATGTTATAATGAATTCTAATAATAATGCTAAAGATGTGGGTGTCCATGGGTTATTTCACATGTAAAAGTTTATTGCAGTTTATAAATTTCACGAAGGGAGTCATTTTGTCCATAATCACGGCATGTAAAACTCACTAAATTTATGCAGTATGAGGACTTACACTTGACAGAGATCTAGGCCGTAGGAAGAGAGTTGTATAATTTTTTGAAACGTCGGATACTGATGTTTATCTTTAGTTAGAAACCTTTGGAATGCCAAAAGATTAGTTAGTGGGGATTTTATGTGAATATCCTCAGTTAAAGGGCATGAGAAAGTGTAATGATCAGGAGTTCCCTGTTCCACAACATATGCAGATCATGTCATTATCATTACAAGGGCACAGCCCCGATCCTCCTAGCGAGCCGTATGATTAAAAAATGAGACTGGCCAGAAAATATATATATATAAGAAAAAACAAAAAATATCCAAAATCTGAGTCTCAGTGCCAAATTACATATTTATAATTTTCATTATTGTATATGCAAAATTATTCAAATTTGAATTGTTCGTTTAATATCTTCCTTAAAATTCTTTATATATCTCCCGGTATCTTTATATATCTCTTGCACTCCGGGTTAGCGTACCCAACATATGCAGATATCGGATAAGCCATATTTCTTGCGCAGAAATATGTGGAGAAGGGTCCGTGTCCTGATATATAGCAATTTAATGAAAGATTCGAGTACAAAGATGCGAAGCTACATTTCACGCCATTCAAAATTCACAGTTCGCTAAATGTAAACAGTATTTCAAGCTTTCAAATTCACAGTATTCTAAACTACATTTTGAAAACTTTGAAGGTCACCCAACAGCGCTCTTTCGCCAAATTCGTTATTTCTCACACTGTTTAACTGCTTATTTATGAACTATTAGCAGTTAAGGTGTTTAACTATTACGTATATTTTTGAATGAACACATTCATATATACATTTTTCAGATAAGCTGAGAGTTCAAGATTTGAAAACATTCTTTGTTACTTACAGAATAGCGAAGAAAAGGCACGAAATCTAACATTAATTTCCATCCTTCTAGGTTGCAAGGAATTTAATTTGTACATAGCTCATTTTATTTTCCTTTAAAGTGTCAGGTATATTTGATTCAGTTACAATCTAAATCAAGCTGGTACATTTTAAACTGTTATTGCTATGGGTTTGTCTCCTTTTCTGTGGATAGAAATATCTCTTTATTCGGACATAGTAAAATGTAAAGATACGTTTTGATGGCGATTTAGTGTCAAAAGAGGTAACACAATAGCTTAGTAGTAAGCCATGTACTATTTTGAGTTTCTTTTTTTGTGTGTATATAAAGGATATATATATATGTGTGTGTGTGTGTGTGTGATATTTCGGCATCAAAGTTCAGGCATGGTTTTTGCAGAGTGGTAAGGCTAAACCATATAAAGAGGCAAGTTGATTTAGCTTTTAATGATACATCTTTATTCCATAGCTTTAATTCAATTTTTACCGTAGATCATGCTTTACTTCATATGAAATTCTCTAAATGACATATTCAATAGTAGTTTAAACCAAGTACGACTAAAGTTAAACGTTATGCGTCATTACTATTTCTAATAAAGGAAAGATAGATCAAGCAGCAGCGAGATGTATAGCACAGGAGGAGAGGCGAGCTTCTTTTGACGCAAAATGGCGCGCATTCGTTATTTATAGCAGCGGTTGCGTAATAGGCTAGCAAATTCTAGAAGGTACTTGTCTAGGGGGAAGATCCTGAATTGCAGAAAGTTAATTAAAGGTTGCGTGTTCGCGAAAAGCAAAGCCATCGTATTTTTTTATATTTTACATATTCTCCCCCCTCTCAAAACAAGAGGCCGGGTGAGCAAAGCATTAGTAGATTAGTGAAGCAGGAAGTATGAGGAGTGGAAAATATGCAATGCCTTTGCCGGGACTCGAACTCTGGACTTCTCGAATACGCGTCAAGTATGCTTCCAATTACACCACGAAGGCATGCGGAAAAGAGGGGGAAGATCCTGAATTGCAGAAAGTGAATTAAAGGTTGAGTGTTCGCGAAAAGCAAAGCCATCATATTTTTTAATATTTTACATATATATATATATTCTTTACGCAATAGTTCCTTTATATATTCGTAAAGAAAGCCTCAGTACTGCTGATTAACCTAAATAAAGCACACCATACTCATTTGTGAGGCATTAATCTTAAGCTGTGAGGTTTGCCTTTGGACTTCAGAATCAGAATTTAAGTATACATATTTATTCTGTATAGAGCTACTTCCTTTAGATCAATGAATTTTAAATTATGTTGAACTGAAACTTGGGGTTCCATGCAATTTCTCCAAGTGTTCATAAAGTCTAAATCAAGATTTAGCAAGTATTTTGAATAGGATGCAAAATTTGAAGACCACTGATAGGTTTTAGAAAAAAAAATCACTATATTAATTTATAATTCTTAAATATGAAACTGAATTGAAGAGACTTTTGAAATTTATTTATCTTCAGATTTTCTTCAATGTTTTTGTTAATTGTCTGATTAAACAAAATTAATATAATTATTTATATAACATGTATGTTCTTCAAGATTAAATTTCATTCCTAGTTCATGTATCATTTTTTATTTAATATTTCAGGGATATTCGGTATGATTTAACAATATCTCGCTCAGAGTGGCCGAATAAAAAGCACCATTTTTTTGTACTGAAACGCTGGCCTTCTTCTCGTGAAAAATTTGGACCTAAAGCGGTATCTGGGAATTACAGTGCTGTAGGGGCTAAACCTGATCCTATTGATTTGCAGCACATAAGGTATGAACTACTTCCGTACTACTATCAGGTCATAAAATCCAGACTTCAAAATCTTAGAACGCTGTTTAAATAATATTAATATCTGTTTATACCATGCATCTCAGAAACAAGTATAATCCACTATACGAATAAAATTATTTAAAATTATTATGAAATTGGATAAATAGTAAATAAACTCTTCACAATCTAATTTAATTACCTGTAATTCTTTCTGAATATGTATTGTTACGAAATGTCAAGGCGCGGTGAGATGGCTTCCCCGCAAAGCAGTTTTAGGGTTGCCATAAAATGGAAAGGGATGGCAGGGTTGCCACATTTGGCGAGAAATCGACCATTTGGCGATAATTGGCGATATGCTAAAATTCTGCAGAGATTCAAACACAAAACGTCGGTAGCTTCGCTCTGAAACCAATAGTAAAAGTGTCTCATAAGTCCTTTGATGCGTGACTTAACCGTTTTAACTTGAATTTGGAAGCTGATACCGGTGGGCAAGCATTTTATTACCCAAACATGACATTATGCATAGCGGCCATTATTTCATTTCACTTATAGAAATTTATGTTTCTTTCAGCCCATGAATTAATAATGGAATTTTGACATCTTGATTAGAATGTATGTAGCATTCGTAAATAGACTGGATATTCTCAAGAATAAATATTGTTTAATTCATATCAGCTGGTATGATTTTTAACGAAGAAGTTTTTAACGAAAATATGGAAACATTCCTTGAGATGCAGTACAGATTAACCTCTAAATTAGTCTGATAGGTAGCGTTTCTTTTAAATTATCTTACAGAATATAATAATAATAATTTCTACTGAAACCAAAAATGTGGAAAGAGAAAAGAATTTAAATTCTGTTAATGAAAGTAAACAGCGCTTAAGTCTGAAAAATTGATCACAACGTAATTAAAGTTAACTGGCCCATCTAGTTACAGCAAATAATGAAAGTGATTATATTATAATTTAAATTTTTTATTGTTTCAGAGAAAATTTCTTACGCGTCCATGTATTCATTCAAGAGATGAATTATTTATCAGTGCGGGATGTTCCAGCTTATTCAGTAAGTAAACATTAAATGCAAGTTCCTTATATGAATTAATTTCTTGAAGCTTCGTCATGAAGCATCATGAAATTTGCTGCATATATTCTAATTAATCTCTTGTGTGTTATCTTATTCCAATTACACTCTTAGACAAAAACAACGACTCACCAAGAAAGAGTTATCCGAATGGGACGAAAATCAGTAGAAGTGATGTACATGTACAGAAAAAATAAATGATTACAGTTTGAGAAAAATTGGATGATTTATTGAAGTGATAGAGCTTCACAAAAAGAAAAAGTCAGTAACGCGTTTGTCCACCTCTGGCCCTTATGCAAGCAGTTATTCGGCTTGACATCGATTGATAGAGGTTACGGATGTCCTCCTGAGGGATATCGTGCCAAATTCTGTCCAACTGGCGCGTTAGATCGTCAACATCCCGAGCCGATTGGAGGGCCATGCCCATAATGCTCCAAACGTGCTCAATAAGAGAGAGATCCGGTAACTTTGCTGGCCAAGGTAATGTTCAGCAAGCAGTAGAAACATGTGCAGTGTGGGGCGGGCATTATCTTGCTGAAGTGTAAGCGCAGTTTGACGTGACATGAAGGGCAACACAACGGGCCTTAAAACTTCGTCGACGTACCGCTGCTCTGTAAGGATCTCGCGACGGATGACAACCAAAGGTGTCCTACTATGAAATGAAATGGCACCCCAGACCATCATTGTCTGCCGGAAGACAGTCAGGTTGGTATCATACCGCTGTCTGGGGCGTCTCCAGACTCGCCTTCGCTGGTCATCGGGGCTCAGTTCAAAGCGGGACTCATCACTGAAGACTATTCTACTCCAGTCAGTGACATTCCAGTGCGAATGAGCCCGACACCACTGCAAACGGGCTTGACGTTGTACAGGGGTCAATGTTAGTCGGCGCAAGGGGCGCCGTGACATCAGCGCCCTTTCTTTTAGCCGTCTGTGAATGGTCCTTGCGGTCACTGAAGCACTAGTTGCACGTACAATCGATGATAATGATGCATCTGGGGCTGTGAGTGCTGCTCTGACGATTGCTCGGTCTACACGTTCTGTTGTTTCTCTAGGCCTACCGCTTCCTTCTTGACGCTGTGTGCGGCCATGGTTCAACCATTCCTGCCAACATCATCTAATATTGGCATCGCTCCTGCTCAAATGTCGAGCTATTCGCTGATAAGACAAACCGGCTTCTTTGAGCTCAACTACACGACCTCTCTCAAATCTATCAACATCTATACATTTCGAATATAAATTGACATTTGACTTTTTTCAACGAGGGGAGGTATCTTGCTGAAGCCCTTTATGTATTCTGTGCGCAGTACCTACATTTTTTAATGAAATAATAAATAAATAAAATTAAATTGTTTTCGTGTGAACATAAAATGACTATACGCCTTTCAAAAAATATGAATACAAAATTCAATTACCATTTATTTGATTCTTCATCATATTCATTCATAACGAGTCTATCAACCTATGAAATTTAACCAACTTTTATGAGGCACATTTTAATGAGAAGTGTGTCATATTTAAGATGACAGAAGTACAGGTAGAAAGGGGTGGGAGACCAGAAAGTCACCATTGTTAGTACAGGTAATAGTCCCCCGCACTAACTGTGCAGTTCAGCACCGGTTGGGAGCGAGAAAACCCCGGGGAGCAGTACGAGGATCACCCATGCCCTTCCCCTAGCACCAGCCTCTCGAGAGGACTTTCGGTATATGAGTGACCCCTTGTCGCAAAGACACTAACGCTTACAAAAGTCCATGGCTTCTCCAGGGTTCGAGCCCGGGTCCACCAGTACGGGAGTCATTGTCGCTAAGCACTCTATCGGCTGGACGGCCTATTCAAGATGAGTCATTGGGCATTACACATTGTATATCATCTAGCATCGAACTTGGAGAAACAAGCACAGAATTTCCTTCCACATGTCCTCGGAAGGATGCGCTTATTATTATATGTGCGCAGCATCTGATGAAACTGGAAGGTAATACATATGATACAAGTCAAGTCATCGTATCTGCCGTTTAAATACGGATTTTCACATTTATTGCTTTTCTTCCCACAAAAGTGGTCCCTTACGAATCTCCAAACCATTTTAGTAATATACAAGGAAAGGCAGAGTAATATGAAATTCAAAATTAAGCAAAACCGAGTCTTAGTCTCCTTCTTAGGTTCTTTCCTTAAACCTTTCTTAGGTTTTATAAAAAAAAAAAAAACTCTGCGTATTTCGAAGGACGCTGGCATAGGACTCCTTTTGTCCAAGAAACAAAAATTACTTTTCTCGAAACCAGCGTTTATGAATTTTGCTTAATTTTGGATCACCTTAACCTTTCTAATACTTATTAACTCCAACAAATGTGTTGACTGAAGTTTAAGTTTACTATCTAGGCTATAAGTGTCTGAAGTTTAAGTTTACTATCTAGGTTATGGTTTAAAAGAGAATCATAAAAATTTCATTGTTTTTTTATTTTATTAACTGTTAATATCCTTCAGCAATACAGATTTAAAATATATACGATTCTTATATCAAATCTATGATCGGTAACTATTCTTATTTTTGTATTTCTTCGCAGACATCACAGTTGTTTGCTGATCTTGGAGGATGCTTAGGACTATACATAGGTGTTTCCTTGATTACGATACTGGAAGTTTTTGAACTCCTAAAAAGCATTATTTTTATCATACGAAGTAAACTGCTGGCTAAAACTAAAATAAAGTCGAGCTCTCATATAGAAGAAGGTGTTGTGGAACTGCACTGGGTAGCCGCTCCTCCTAGCAAACCTCTACCTGTCATTTATCAGCGGAATAAACAATGTTGTGGAAGAATTTCTACTTCTCTGTCTTCAAAAAGGCAAAATAACTCGTAAGACGCAACATTTTTATTTTACCTTTGTTCATAGGTCTCATTATCAGAAATTCTTTTAAAAGTCTTCTGCGTGGAATGCATGCATTTGCTTTCTTACGACATCTGTTTCTCTAAGTCGGTGTTTCCCAAGCTGTGTTTCGCAAACAGTCACCAAGTGTTCTTCAAAAAGTTATGAAATTTATTTTTGAGAAGAAAAAATATTGTCTGCGTTTATGCATTTAACACAATTTAAAACAACTCTTAAAAGAAATTTAAAGAAAAAATATGAAACTAAGTGATTTAAATCGTGCACATAATAAATTTAGTAAAGCAGCATAACACCAGACGGCTTACATTGCCAATGTAATAAATATATGTAGAATGCATTTCTGGTAATGTTTCTGTTCTGAGTTCTAATGTTTCTGGACAGTGAAGAAGTGTTTCATTGTCCTTTTAAAAGCATAAGTTTCTTTTTAATTAAATTTTTTATTTTTCTATTTTATCTTCTTTTTGAAACTGATAAGTAAGTTTAAAATTTTTGCTAACTAATTAGTATAATATATTTAATCATCAGAAATACTATTGACTTAAAAAATTAATACTGTTGTTATCTGTTGGGATGAAGATATACAACTATATAAGTAAAGTCAAGTTTCACTTATTATTTTGCGATAAGTTTTCTACTAGTTAAAATCCTTTAAATCAAAGACTCAAATATATTGAAGATATTGAAAATTAAATATGCTTTACTTTTTTCCTATATTATTTGTTTCATGTGCAATATTAAAACTGAAAAACATGTCTTTCATATGCATTATGTAGAAATTGGGATAAACTTTTATATATTTTATTGTTTATTTAATATATCTGTGTTTCATTTATTGTAGCTAAAAACCCAAATTTACTTTAAAATTCCTTGAAATTTTTAGAACTTAAAATGTATTCCGCAATGAAAAAAGTTTAGAAAATACTGCTACAAATAAGCAAAACTGTGGGGAAATGTTGTAGTGCTACACGATATTTTAAAGATTTACTTCACTTGAAAACCGAGGACAGGATAGCTTCATGGAAATGAATGCACATCCATCACACAGTTTAAGCCGTCGGATGTACTTCCCTAATATGAATTTGAGGTTTCCAGGAGGGAATAAGTATTTTCAGTATTAAAGTGTATATTTACATTGGGAACACAACAATGAAAGATATCCTTCATTTTCTCATACACTGGTTATTATAAATTAAGGAAAAATCACAAAAATCACGATTACTGAAAAAGTTACATGTAGAATTTAATGAAACTTACCCACAATATACAACACATAGTAAGGTATCAAATAACATAAAAAGAAATTACCAGACAAATATGGTAGTATAGAAATTAGCATATGTATAAATTGACTAATTCGAAGGTGTCAGTTTACTATAGGAAAAGTACCTTCAATATGGAATATGATCGCCTCTAGAAGCAATACAGCACATACAGCGATGTGTGATGCTTTCAATTATGCGGTCTATCTGTTCCAAGGAAGCGAGAGCCATTGCTTTTGCAAAGCAGTTGCAAGCGCGACAAGGGTTTGAGAGGGCGGATTGAGAACAGCTAGACGTCTCCCTAAAGCATCCCAAACGTGCTTGATAAGATTCAAGTCCGGGGATCGAGCTGACCACTCCATGCGCATAATTGTTTCCTGTTGAAGATAATCATCTACGATGAGAGCCTTGTGTGGTCTTGCGTTGTCGCCCTGTAAGCTTCACCTATTGCCCCGGCATATGGGCACACATAAACATAAAAAATGTCTTCTCTATAAACCTGAGCATTCACGGTTCCCCTTGGAAAGACATGGAGGTCTGTGCGTCCACCCAAAAAGATGCCACCCCAAACACAGACACTGCCCCTTCCGTATGCATCTATTTCACGGATGTTTGACGTATGATAACGGATTCTAGGTTCTTTCCATATCAAATAACGCCTACTATCGCTTTCTAAACTAAACCTGGACTCAACCGTAAAGAGAACCGCCCTCCATTGATCAGGCGTCCAGTGGACATATTGTCGCGCCCATTGAAAACGGTTTATCCTATGGTGTGATCTGAGCAGCACACAAATGGTTGGTCGCCTCGCATACAGACCACCTTAGTGAAGCCTTCTAGACACGAACCTTCCGGTAGCTGCAGCAAGGGAGGATCTAAGAAGAGTCGGAGAAGCGGTTCTATTCCTGCTTGCACATAATGTCGAATATCGGTCATCGGCGCTCATCGCAGCAGTTGACCGTCCTTGGCTGAACCTCCTAGATGCCGAATCTGTGGTTTGAAATTGCCTCCAAAGTCTATGAACCACAGAAAGACTCACATTTAGCCCATCTGGCCACTTCTGTTTGACTTTGTCCTGCCTCTAGTCTCCCAATGGCTCTCCATCACAGTTCTGCAGGCAAATGATGCCTGGAGGTCATTGTTACGAATTGGCTATCTCAGATTTCTGATGTCACTGTCACAGTGAAATGTGGGCTTGTTCTCAAACATGGACTTTTATGCTCCTCGCAGATGACGTATTCCGAAAGCAGCGCCACTAATTTGCATATCGCAGTTTTACTCAGCTACTCTTACTTGGCAACATATTCAAATTTTACACGATTTGGCTTTTTTTGAGGGAGTTATTGCTATTTTTGTGATTTTTCCTTAATTTATGATAACCAGTGTACATCGTTTGTTTTGCTGTTTCAAACATTCGAAATAGCTAACGTAGTTCACTTGTAAAACACGAATTTTAATAGTTTTTATAACGTTATTCCTTGAAGTACAGTAGAGCCTCCCTTTATAAGGTATTTTTCCCGCCTTCTTAGCATGCCTTCTTGGTGTAGTGGCCAGCACACTCGGCGCGTATTCGAGAGGTCCGTGGTTAGAGTCCCGGCGAGGGCATTGCTCATTTTTCATGTCTCCAGCATCGAAATAACCTAATAACTCTACACCTTTACAAAATCTCTCTCAGCTGAGGGCCGTGGTCTCTGTTATTCGAGTCAGCAATCAGTTTAAAGAAATCATTAGGAAAAATGTAGTAACATTAGAAAAGGTGCAAAGGAAATTCATAACATTAGCGAATTCTCTTATTAATGATTGATTCATTGGTTGGTTTGGTTTACTTGTGTTAAAGACAAAAGTAACACTAACAGTCAAATGTCTACAGACAATGAATTCGTAGATACGTTTCAAAGGATAAAATGTTGCTAAGACGTTTCAAGATGACGTTTCGGAATGGATATAGAAAAAAGCGAACCGTTCCCATTGTGGCTGCGGAGAGAATTGCAGTGATGAAAGTGATGCTAAGGATAGCAATGAAAATGAAAGGGCAGTGCGAAAATTACCTCTGCCTGAAACGTTGAGCTCTTTAATTTTTATAAAAACGACCTTACAGGGTCCCTTTGTGCGAAGGTGTCAGTGAGACGCATTTCACTGATCGTCTTGTATACCCGTATGTAACGGAATGTAAATAGTTTGCTGAAGTACAGCTCTTCTCGGCGCTGAATGTTCGGAAGTACATTGATCTGCAATAATTGACCTTCGAGTTCATAACTCAGACGTACAGCCTCCGCACAACGCCTAACCGGTTAAAAGACGTTGGTAAGCAAATTTTTTATGCTAGTTTCCGTTTGTATCCATCTATTACGTAAGCAGATTTTATGGTTTACATGTTATTTCTCTCGCCGATTATGCTAGTTTTCTATTTGTTGCTTAACATTTGGAAGTGTTTGGAAGTGTACCCTATTGAGCTGGGTAAGATCAGGATTCTCTCCACTTTGTAAAACTGAATTTGTTAATCTATATCTACAGGCTTTATGAAACTTCTTTTCTCTCGTCCGAATGTGCAAAGTTTTTCTATTTGTTGCTTAATATTTGGACACTAGTATTTTACCCTATTAAGCTGAGTAAGATCAGGGCTTCCTCTCTTTCTAGAACTGGATTTGTCAATCTGTCTCTACAGAGGCTTAATAGAACTTCTTACTTACATCTTAACCTTACATAAAACAAAATAAAAAATGTTTCGTCACGTGCTAAAATCATTTCGATGTCTTTAACAGTTTAGGAATAACACGGTTTTATAACCTGATTATTATTTTCGAGGATCCTGTGCAATTAATGTTTTACTTCAGCGAAATAGCTATGTATTTTCCGTTGTAAGAAGTTTATATGGCAAACAAGATCCTAGCCTTTGACAGGCCCAACAAATGAATGACATTCAGTACTTAAAAATATAGTATAGAATTGCCTTTATTTGGCTTTGTTGTTCTTCTTTTGAGAAAGGAGATTTTAGAGGGGGAGTTCTTCCTCTTTGTTTGCTGCTTCATACTTCCGCTTATTCAATAGCCAGTTAGAAGATGCATACGTACGTAAGAATGACTCTTGGTAAACGGTAAAGATGTATACTAACTTAACCCTTTCTGAGTACCTTAGCATATTAGCATCACTCGTAAAGTATTTATATACCATGTAATATAGACACGACAACAACAACAAGAACATAGCATTTATATCCTAAATCTGTACAATTATTGTCTTTTTTGTTTGCTTTAATAAACTTTAAATCATTAGAATGACTTCTAATTCATTGAAGAAAATATGGAAGCAAAATATTTTAAAGAACTAAGTAATATGTGTAAAACTGCAGTAAATTTCATGAACGAATAAAGGAGAAAAATTGGATAATTTCATACATTCAGAATTAGTGGAAATATTTCCAATATATGCATTACTTATATAATGTGTAATAATTACTATGTCTTAAATGTATGAATGTATATGTATTTTAAAATTAAATGTTATTCATATTGATTTAAAATATTTTAATTTTTTTAGGAATACTACTGGATTGAGTCCAGGATGTGTCTCACCCCTCCGTCAATTACCAAGCCCAATATTAATGAAGAATGTTAGTAATTACTCGAATATGCAGTCACATTTTTCATCATATTGATGTATATTGTCATTACAATGCAACATTATGTAAAAATTATATTTTGGTGTTTGTGGAAAATGAAGAGCAAAATTTAACTGAACTATATAATTTGAAATATAAATAAAAATGTCAAATTATCTGGCATTTGAGTTTCATAGTTCAAATCACGAACCTTTAAGCCTTGCTATCAAACAGTGTTTTGTTTGAGTTCTTGCGATTCTAAAATTTTATTTATAGTTAACTGATTAAATAAGTAAATGCAAATAAATTTCAGAAATACTATTCATAGAAATATTCTTCATCCAGTTTAATCAAAAATGTCTGTAATTATTTTATGGAATAAGAAAAAAAGTTTATTTAGAAATAACTATGATTAACATATGTTTTTCACATTTTTGGCGTTATATTGTAAGTTATGTCGCTGCAGGGAACACGAAAAATGTGCAGTGCCCTCGCCGGTATACCCCCTCCAGACTGCTAGCTGGACGTAGTATCCATTTACACCCCCAAGGCACACTGTAAGGAGAGAGAAAATACCTTATATACTCCCCATTTAAGGGCGATTAGGGAGGAGCGGACCCAATTGCCAAATGCAGTAGACTCCCGATTATCCACGCCTGCCGCACAGTTTTTTTTTTTTTTTTTTTTTACAAGCGTAAAGCAAAGAAAATAAAAATGTTCACGAAACTGAGCGAAACGTTCAATTTGCTAAACATCGTGATGAGTAAGTGATTTCTTACTCACCCTTGCAGTGCCCGCTCCACGGCCCTCTCTCGTCTTAATCTTACTGATACGTCCACTTCCTCCCACTCGCCATTGTTAGTTTAAGCCTGATAGTATTTGCGAACAGGTCGGAGTTAATTTTTTATCTTTTATTGTGTTCAGTGCTTGTGCATTTTGGTTTTGTGTTTTTCGTTACCGATTTAAAATGTCAGGAAAACGAAAGAAGGTTGTATTGACGATTGCGCAAAAACTAGAATTAATTTCCAAAGTAGCAAACGGCGCTACAAGGCAGCAGATGGAATTGGATTACGGAATCGCGGAAACAACAGTGCGTGACATTCTAAAGCAAAAAGACAAACTGGTGAACTTTGCATCGTTGGACAGTGCTTCCGCTATGAAAACGCGAAAAACTATGAAGGGTTCTACCTTTGATGAGCTAGACACGGCATTGACAGAGTAGTTAGCTCAAGTTCGAAAAGAGGGTACTCCTGTAAATGGGCCTATCATTGCCGCGAAGGCAAAAAACTTTTTTGAGTTGTTAGGCCTGAAAGGAAATTTTGATGCGTCTTCTGGCTGACTCGTTTTAAGCAGCGACACGGAAATTGGACTTCATGGGGATAAACTTAGTGGTGACCAACAAGCAGCCGAAGATTTCCACGATGAATTTGAAGAATTTGTTTTAAAAGAAGAGCTATCTTTTGAACAAATTTACAATGCCGACGAATCGGGACTTTTGTGAAAATGTCTTCCCACTCGCACTTTAGCATTTGAAAGTGAAAGTAAAGCGGCGGGCCATAAAAGCAGCAAGGAAAGATCACTATCATGTCTTGCAGCAACGCTACCGGTGGGCATAAACTTAGACTTGTTGTCATTGGAAGGTAAAAGAAAACCGAGATCTTTCAAAGGCACAAGGATAGAAAGTTTGCTCATTGATTACTTTAACAAAAAAAAAAAAAAAAAAAAAAGGAATGGATGAACCGAAACATTTTTCAAGAGGGTTCGAAAAAAATCTTTTTTCTTCAAGTGCGTAAACATCTTAAATCGAAAACTTGCCTGAAAAAGCTGGCTATTGATCAACAACGCACCTTCTCACTCAGCAACAAGCGTGCTAAAGTCTTCTGATGGACAAATTTTTGCAAAGTTTCTTCCCCCCCAAAACGTTACTGCGCTAATCCAACCCATGGACCAAGGAGTTATTGCAGCAATGAAGGGAACATACGAACCAAGCTGCTAATGACCAAAATTGAAGAAGGTTATGATCGGAAAGAGTTTTGGAAACACTACGCAATCTTGGACAGCATCTATGACATTGCATCTGCATGGGACTCAGTGAAACCGTCAACCCTCATAAAATCATGGAGAAAACTCATGCCTAATGTTGAAGCCAACAACAACCTAAGCCCTTCAAGTTGTGAAGAAGAGAAGAGAATGAAGATGTAGACACGCCCACGGCAACTCTTGCCGATATGGTGAAAACAGTTCCGGGTGGTGAGAACGTCGATGCTGAAAACATTAACGAGTGGTTGGGTCAACGAACCTGGCTTCGAACGCTTGACAGATGACGAAATTGTGAAGAAAGCAAGGGAAGAGAATGAAGGAGAGTGAAGTGAAGGCGAAGAAGAGCCCACTGTGCAGATGCGGAAGCGGCTTTGCAACAAGTCGACGGATTGCTGAGCTATTTGGAAGAACAAGACGACGCGGAGTTGGCCTAGAAACTTATGCTACGAAAAATACAATCTCGGATCAAGAGAAAATGCTTCCAAAGCAAGAAGCAAACACAAATGACTGATTTTTTCTAAAAGGTGTAGTTTTACAGTTATGCTTTTGTAATTACATAATACATTATAGTATTAAAACAGTACATATGTTTTAATTTTTCTGTGTATCCTTGACGCCTCTCGTAAGTACAAAGCACTTTTCTGTTTTCATTAACAAAATGCATTTTAGGTTAGTTTTGAGTGATGTACTAAAATATTAAGCGTTAGTTAAACATTCCTACTGTTTATCTTACGTTTTATTGTACATATACATTTTTCAAAGTTGGAATGACTGTTTTCTCTTTTGCTAGACCCGTTTTTAGCTTTTTTCGGATTATCCGCGATTTTAGTTATCCGCGGCGGTCGCGCCACCCAATTCCGCGGATAATCGGGAGTGTACTGTAGTGGGAGATGAAGAATTACCGACCATCACCTTTTCAGTTGATCGATGCAGAAGACTTGAAAAATGTAATGTACTATCGCTAGGATGTGAACACCTTACTTGCCGATTGCTAGCTGGACGTGTTATTCGTTTATCCGGCGAAGGCCCGCTTAAGGAGGGAGAAAATAGCTTATAAGTGTTCTATTATTCTTGCTTATTCATTCTGGAAAAGCTACAAAAATTCCATGTCTGATGCTCGAAAATGAATTTCAGCTTTTATTTCCACATTTTCAGCTCATAAATGAATAAGCCTTTAATAAATAAGCTTTTAAATGAATTTCAAATTATAAGTGATCCTTAGTCTTTAATGAGCCTTTAAATGAATTTCAGCTTATAAATGAGACTATTTTGAGAAAAGCATGCGCCCACTGCAGAGTGTATGCAAGCGTCTGCTTCGCAAATTAATGGACTGACAAATTAGAAAATATACTAACGTGATGTTACTCAGTAAGGTATTTACTAAATAATTTATTTAACTGTAATTTAAATGTTTTTGAATTTAACGAAAAATAAACTGCATTATTTACAAGAATTAGAAGGTGAAAAATAGAGTTCTTTTCCGAACTGCGAATTTAGGAAAATCGATAATTCGTATAATAACTTTGTTTTCAAATTCACGCTTGTTCCGTGAACGTTTTTAATTCAGCTCTACTGATTTTAACTTACTCGTGTAAAACAACTTTAAGAAGTAGAATTTTGCTATTTCTTACAGCGTGAAATGTTGATCATTAGAATCAACCGTTTCCAGAACGTACCACTTCAATATTGTGTTCTAGATAAGAACTTGCATGCTTATAGCTACAACTTTAATAGAAAGAGTATATTTATTTATATTTATTAAAATGCAGTTCTCCACTTTCCTTTCCTGTTCCTCCTAAATTCAGGAATATTCAAAACGTATTTTCGTGTATTCTTCAGTATTGCCTTCCGAACTAGGCTTATAAACAACAGAATTTTTAGCGCAAAACCAATGCAATGCAATAGCGAGTGCCCACAGGTATTCTGGTTAAAGCCCATTGATATTCTGGTTAAAAGCGTAATTCAAAGGACAATACTGTTCCTTGAATAACCTCAAATAAACCCATTATATGAGTTTTAAATTACTCTAAAGAGAATGCTTGTCCTCGGATTCCTGTACTTCGTTGGAAGGTAGATGGAGGGACAATACCTCGTTATTTTGTGGGACAGCGCAGATTTTACACGCCTGCAATATTAATAACTTCATAGTTCTTTTAAATGTAGAATTAATCCATAGTTTAATTTAGTTCAATAGTTTATAACAGTAGACTAAACTTTTAAACCCGGTTTTTCTTTTGATTATATAATTCGTTATTCAGTCATTAAACAAGCTTCTTTAGATATGGATTCTGGGTTCTTTGCAGAATGGGGACATAAGACAGCTTGAATTACAAAATTTAACAACACAGATCCCATGCTCAGGAGAGAAGAATAAATCTGCTATTATAATTACCGTTGGACTCTTTCTCATTCTTTTAGTCTTGTTCAAATTCTACATACCTGAACGATATGAATATACGGTTTACAATTCGTTAAACGGATGAACTACAAAAAGCTTTGTTAGGTATAAGTAGTTCATTCTGGAACAAGTATGAGTCTTTTGCCAATCAGACTTTAATATGCGGAGGAGATGAGTTTAATAAACGGCGGTTGTTCTATTGATTAGTATGTATTTGGTCTGGTTGCTGGAAATTTTAACATAATAAGAGCGGGTACTGCATAATGAATATTTCATTAATTGTGAATTTGGTTAGATGGGGGGGGGCTATATGATAGGTTATATTTTATTACTTACGAAACCCATCCCATATACTATGCGAAAGTTGTTTTCTTAAAATTACATGCCTCTTTCTGACAATTTTTTGCTTGGATACATATTGCATCTAGAATTAATATTTAAGGAAATAAGCCAACAGATTTCCTTTTCGATGACACTTCTTTATAAGTAAATAAATTTCCCTTCTTTTCAAATCTTGTGACGAAACTCTCCAACGAACTGAAAATTGTTACCAGTCTGTTTCAAGATTGTGAACTTTCAAAAGAGAGATCTGAGGAAATGTTTTTATAAAAAACTGGCTACATATGTAGAGAACAAGCACCAATGTATTCAATAATTATTCTTAAACGTTTTTCTTTTTCCTTAAAAAAAATAAAATAAATAAATAAATAAATAACAACCCAGGATGTAAATTGGAAGTTTGCAAAATAGTTGATTGAGTGCTCAATCAGCGGTTATTACTCTTGTGATGGTCTATAAATTAAATATATTGAAAAAG